GACCCCCGCAGCCCGCGAAAGCCGCGATGAGTTCGGTCCCGTCCAAAGCCCAAACGCCGCGCAGGGCTGGCAACCCCCCCCGAAAAGCCCCCCGAAAAGCCCCCGGGGGGTTTCCAATCAGCGCTCCACCGTCGACTTCGAGGCCGGGTCCTTCCACCGCGCCCTCGCGGCCCCGGCGGAGTTCCGCCTGCCGCTCAGCTGGCGCCGGCTGAGCTACCGCGTGGGGGAGTTGGCGGTGTTAACGCGGCTCAGTGGGACGGCGCTGCCGGAGCGGTGTTTGGCGGTGATGGGCTCCTCCGGCGCGGGGAAGACGACCTTTTTGAACGCGATTTGCGATCGCCTGGCGTCTGGCGGGGAGTTGGCCCTGGAGGGGAGCTGCCAACTCGCCGATGTCGTCTACGAGCGGCGCTTTCGCAAGGCCCTGGGGTTTGTCCCGCAGGACGACGTCCTTTCCGCGATGGACACCCCGTACGACGCGCTTCGGTTCTCGCTCCGCACGCGGCGCGGCGTGGATGCCGCCGAGGCGGACGCCCGGGTGCGGGAGATGCTCTCCCTCCTCAAACTTCAGGGCTGCCAAGAGACGTTGGTGGGGACCCCGGGGCTAACCGGCGGGCTCTCCGGCGGCGAGCGCAAGCGCTGCAGCATCGGGGTCGAGTTGGTCTGCGATCCCAAAGTGTTGTTGTTGGATGAGCCGACCTCCGGGCTGGATTCGGTCACCGCGGCGATGCTGATTCGCCAGCTTCGCGAGCTCGCGCGCGGGGGGCGGACGATCATCTACACCATCCACCAGCCCACCGCCGAGGTGTTGGCGTCCTTCGACGATTTGATGCTCCTGACGGGCGGGCGGTGCGCCTACCACGGCGCGATGGCGGATTCCCTGGCCTACTTCGAGTCCATCGGCTTCCCCTGCCCCGAGCGCTACACCGCGGGGGATTATTTTATGATGCTCCTGCAGGACGAGCAGACGTCGCGCGTGTTGGTGGAGCGGTGGGAGCAGCACCTGCAAACCAACAAACGCACCCCCCACACCACTTCCATCCGCCTCGCGGAGGACCCCGAGGAGTCCCACACCACGATTTTTCTGAACTCCTACATCCAGAAGTTTGGCAGCTCCACCGTGATTCAGCTTCGCGAGGTGTTTCTTCGCCGCGTTCACGAGCTCGCGCGGGATCGGATGTTTATCTTCTCCCTTGCCGGGCAGGAGTTGTTCTTCTCCCTTATTGTGGGGCTGATTTACATCCGGATTGGGATGGATATCGCGAGTATCCAGGATCGCGCGGGGCTTTTGTTTATGGTCACCCTGAATCGCGTCTTCTCCGCCTCCTATACTGTGTTAAACACCTTTCATAAAGTTCGTCCGGTCTTCATGCGGGAGCAAAACGCCGGGGCCTACTCGCCTTTGGTCTACTTTGTGGGTACGATGACCGCCCAATTCCCGCCGATGATATTTTTCTTCTTTCTGGAGTGTCTGATTATTTATTTCATGACCGGTCTGTACGCCTCCGCGGGGGCGTTCTTTCTCTATTTTCTGATTATTGGGATCGTCCAGGAGGTCGGGGTGGGGATCGGGTTCCTGCTCTCCGCCTGCTTCGAATCCATCACCCTCGCCACGGGCCTCGCGTCGTTGGTGACTATTCCCTTGAGTTTGGCGGGGGGGCTTTTGGCCAGCACCGACCGCCTGCGGCCCTACTGGTACTTCCTCGAAAAGCCGTCCTTTATTCGTCATGGGTTTATTCTGTTGATGCGGAATGAGTTTAACCGCCTGGACCACATCGACTGCGATATCCACAAGTACGGGGCCGAGGTCTGCCGGAATCAGGCCAAGAACGGCAAGGAGGTGCTCATGCGCATGGGCATCGACTCCGACCCGCAGTCCAAAAGTGTTTATATGTGGATCTCCCTCATCGGGATTTGGTGTTTGATTCGAGTGTTCTGTATTATTGCCCTCAATGTCGTCTCGCGTAAAAAAATGTAATACGGGGAGATCGATTTAGAAAAACACAAACACCCACATCCACTCACACACTACCTAAATAATGGTTTCGTTGCGTTCATTTTATGTTTCTTCTTCTTCTTAATAATATTACTATTATTATTATTATTATTATTTTATTGAGCCTTCAGATAGTATTACAAAAAATGTCTAACTCATGACCACAACCGGGTCTGGAATGGACTTGCATCGTGAATCTCGGATTTTCCAATTCATGTCCATTGCGCGCTATATATTCATACCCATTTGTTTAATATTTACTTATTTTTGTGCTTCTGAGGTGAATGTAGATATAGACATAAGTAGAAGAATTAATAACTTTTATCAACAATATCTGCATGAGTACTATCAACAGCAATAGGTAAAGCTTGCTGAGTTTATTTTATTTTCTCTTCTTATTAATAACTGTTATCTTCGTTGCACTTGAACTTCATTAATACGCTTGTCTGGGTATAAAACTTACATAAAAATGTCAAACTCACACCCTCTTTGTAGGGCTTCTTTTATAAATCGAATTCGTGCTAACCTGTGGGAATTTAATATCTTTTACTTAAAAAAAGAAAAAAAATATATAAATATATAAATAATTTCCCCCCTGAATATCTAATGAACGGTACCACCTCCGTTTCGGTGGATGCTTAACTTTGACGAAATCCATGCGTGTGAAGTGTATAACCCACGTGTGCGATGGCGCTGCCGTGTTTAGTTACCCTTATCTTTATTTATTTAATACTTTAGAAGGCAATTAGATATCTCTTAATATTACTACTACTACTAATAATAATATTAATATTAATATTAATATTATTATTTTATATTTTTCGCTTTTTGCATTCTTTTTCCGTTTAGGATGTTCACCCGTCCGCTACTGTGGGAGGGGATGGAGCGAACTGCGGGGGAGTTTGGCTGAGGCCTTGCACGGAGGCCGCATGGCGGGGGATTTCCGAGGTTACGTGGAGGGCGGCGCCTTTTCTTTTCTTTTCTTTTCTTTATTTATTTTCTTTCATTGATTTTATTATTTTTCATTTTTGCAGCCTCCGCAGGCATTGCGGGGCGATCTGGAAGGCAACGCAGGGGTGAGAAGGTCAGCGTGCGGGTTTTTTTTTTTGATCTCCCGCGGCGGTGCGCGCTTTTCTTCCGCCGGCGATTTGTCAAATAAATTAAACTAAAGTAAAAAGAAAGAGCGAGGATGACGATGACCGAGATGGCAATGGTGAGGTCTGCGCGCACGAGTCGGCGTCGTTCACCGCTAAAACGCCCCTGTTTAATGGCGGCGATGGCGAGTTTACATCGTTTTTTCCTTTTCTTTTGTGTATTATTATTCCTATCATTATGATTAGTATGATTATGCTGAATATTTAAGTGATGTGGAAGGCGTCTTGAGCGGGATATTCCTTTTTCTACAGTCCCCCCCCCCCTTTACCGTGATGTTGCTGCTGCGGACAAAACCTTTTCCCCCTCCCCCCCCTCTCTTTCGAGTGCTTTCCATCCAAAGGCTCCCAACTGGGTGGGCGTAGGATCTTTTATCCAGTGATTCTTCTTCTTCTTCTTTGTATTGCTCCTATTATTACCCCTATTCGTACGAATACGCGTCGTTCTCCCGGAGTTATCACCTTTTTATCCCTCCAAGGCCCCTTCGTTCCCCCCTTTTTCCCTTTTCTTTCGCGCGCGATGCCCGCGGAGGCCGTCTCCTGGC